AAGGACAGGTTATTTTTTTAAGTAGAGTCTAGTTTATTCCTAGAACGAAATACATTTACAATAGGGCCTTTCTAGGGCTAGAGAGAGAGAGAGAGAGAGCACAGCACCTAGGGCACTTGCATAGCACAGGGCCAACCTGGATTCTCTCCCCAGTACTCCTGAGCCTCCAGCAGGAGTGATGCTTACAGAGCAAGGAGTAAGCCATGAGCACTGGATGTGGCCCCCAGACAAACAAACAGACAATAAAAAATAAAATTAAAATAAGGGATTTATATAGGATGAAAGCAGAGGGGGAAGAGTTGAAAGGAGATGCTGACCCTTTAGTAGGAATCGTCCACTATCATCGAGAACACTGAGTTCAGGCATGTTTTCAACTTTTATTTAGAAGTATCATCCAGCCTCAATCATTAAAATTGGCTTATTTTCATCCAGAGGTCAATGTGGATGACATGGCTAGCAATTCCTGATCAGGGGGTAGAAATATTCCCCAAAATGTGAAATATGATTTCCACCCCAAGCAAAATGAGCGTTTTAATTCTTTCATACCCAGATGATCTCTGCACACACTCCACAGTGCCAACAACAGCATCCAGGCTAGGAAGGGGACCATCAGCATCCCCCCAGCAGAAAAGAGCCTGGCCACAGATGTTACAAAAGGCAGCATGTGCATAAGGAAAGGAAGCCTGACTGCCCTATCAGCCAAGACTCTTGCTGTCTTAACCAGTGGCAGCTTAACTGGTGACAGCTCCTGACTGAGAAGGTCTAAACATGCCAGTCCTGATCCAGCTACTCAGACATTACTGCTCACTCACGTCCATCCAGTTCCTGATTTATTCTCTCTCACACCCACTCCCCAGCAGTTAGATTGAGGTCCTTCCCTGGGGCTGGGAGTGTGGGATGAACTGATTAGGGTAAGTGAGTCACTGCTCTTCCCTAGCGGTGATGGTCCTGCCCAACCATGCAGCTAAACACGATGGTGTCCCCCACCCCCGAACCCCCTCTAAAGAAAAGCTAGAATCTTCTTAGGAGTCAGTGAACAACCAGTGTTCACCACCCTCAGTATTCCTCCAATGCTTCTTAAGACAACCTGGGGCTCCTCTCCTCCGCCAAGGACCATGGAGTCTGTGTGCTAAGAAACGAACCCGCTTTATTTCCCGTCAATGTCAAATCAGTCTAAAACAGCCACGCTTAGAAAACCTGACGACAGTGGCTTTTCTTAATTCTGGGTCTTCGGGAACTACTGCTGAGTCTTTCTGAATCGAAACATTTTCTCCTGTCACTGGGAAGTCACAGCAGCTTGAATGCATCAGCCTCGGCCTCCTGGCATGTCACATTGTGAGAGGATTCAGCCGCGGGCTCAATCTGATTCAAGCCAGACAGAGCTGCTCCTGTGTCTCCTGAGCTTCCCCTGGAAAAAGCCAGGCCAGAGGCCACCCACTCTGCGAGCGAGGAGGCAGGGGAGGGTCCCAGGCATGACAGACACCTCCCCTCTGTCCCTCATTGGCAAAGTGTAATTAATGACGGTCATCGAAACATTTCGTAGGTGCCAGGCGCGGTCTAAACACTTCCCTGGGATTAATTCCTGTCCTCTGCACAAGAGCACCTCAAGGAAGGTAGTTGGTTTCTCATCGTCATTGTAATTACCACTTAGTCCAGAGAGTGGTGGTTCAAAGTGGCCAGGATGCTGGCCCCTGTGTCACGCCCTAAGGAAGCAGCTTATGGCCATCCAGAGAACAGTCTCCACACCTCTCTGCTTCCAGCTCCTCCCTGCATCGTCTCCTCTGAGAAGACAGACAGGAGAGGGAGGGTGAGCGATCTGAGCTAGAGAAACCCAGTTCCAAAGGTAGGGGGGGTTCCCCTTCCAGAAATTTCTGAGCCTACCATCAGAGAATCCCAAAGCCTGACACCCCTCTGCAGAGCCAGACAGTCTAAATGGAAGGGGTTGGTGTCCGCCCTTTCTCAAAAATAAATGGATCCCTTCAAAGGGCAAGTACTCTGCTGGGCCTGTGGGAATCTGCACACCGCAGGGGGCATGGGCTGGAGCAGTACCGGTCTAAGGCGACACTGGCTGGCCCCAGTCTTCTGGGGCGTTTGGCGACCGGGCTGCTTCCCACCACAGCTGAACCTTCTGTGAGCAGAACTGACGCAGAGCATCCCCGTGGCAGCTAACAATCTAGTGGGCTCAGGGTGCGCCCACCAAGCAGGTTTTATTATTTCTAATACTTGCTCCAAATGAGGAGGTGCACCCATCTGACACGTGAAAAAGCACCTCTATTGACTTTTTTTTTACAAACCTTATGATACTTGAGGTGGATCGACACTTATCACAGCCCTTTAATCTGCCAAGTGGAATAATGTGCACACAGATCATTTATCCGCCGCGAGACCGAGAGGCTCAATTTGGAATAACTTTCTCTCTCTAGTAAATTGAGCGTCACTCTCCGATACCAAGGCTGAGAGAGAGAGAGAAAGAGAGAGAGAGAGAGAGAGAGAGAGAGAGAGAGAGAGAGCGCACAGTTGAAAGTGCTTTGTAGAGTTCCTTGGTAATTAGTTGCAGCTTCTCTTGAATATTAATTAATTCTCCTCCCCCCCATCCCTATCATGTGATTTAGAGACTGTTCTAGAACTAGAGCTGCATCCTTCCAACCAAGACTGTCGGCCGCAGGGTCCCCACCACCTATTATTAAGTAGTCCATGCCACGCAGTCTGCCCTCTCCAGTGCTTGTGAGGGGGGTTTATCAGTGCAAATAGTTTAATATTTATGCTAAGAGGATTGTCAAAAGCAGCTTCTGTTGCTTTAATTCTTGTTTTAAATAAATAATGAGAACATTTAAACACATTACTCTTCTTGGGGCCCTGAGGTCAGCTAATCTTATTATTTATGAAGTGATGTGCTCCATAATAGTACTTAGTGCATGTTAACAGACGCTATTATCAGGGCCTGATGCGGAGGGCTGAAGATATATTGGAATGTTATGTGTAATGTACTGCGGATTGAGTGCCGAGGATGCCGGTGTGGCAATTAACCACAGGAGAAAATAGGTGTAAAGTTGAAGTATGTTTTCCCACGGGGGTCCCCTAACCATTAATAATTCCCCAGAGAAGATGATGTCTTTTAGTTTAGGACCCTTCTCACCATCAGGCTTGGAAATAGGGCCAGATCGCCCACTTTCAAGAATCTCTTTGGGGTCATACGCTGAAGATAAATGGTGGGTACAACCACTTTCAGTTGATTTAGAGAAGCCTGCACAGCGGGAAGGCAGGGGCCAGGGAGACACTTGAATAGGAAAGGACCCTTGCACGGTTGGGGACCGAGCCCAGCCGAGAAAGGAGGGGTAAGGGAATGCGGAGGGTGCGGAGACAGGATAGCATCACAGGAAATGGAGAGGAGGAGCCATACACAAAGGAGAGGATCCATGCATAGAGGTGGGAACCAGGAAGAGAGAAAGATCCTTTGCACAAGGCGGGGACGGGGAGGACCCATGCACAGGCAGGAGGACCATGTATGGTGGAGGAGCCATGCACAGGGGGAAGGACCTGTGCTTGGGGGAGGAGCCAGGCAGGGGCTGGGCCAGGCACCAGGGGAGGAGCTAGATGCAGGGGGAGGGGCCGGGCACAAGGGGAGGAACTAGGTACAGGGGGAGGAGCCAGGCACAGGGGGTGGGGCCAGACAAAGGGGGAGAAGCCTGGTGCAGGGGGTGGGGCCAGACAAAGGGGGAGGAACCAGGTGCAGGGGGTGGGGCCAGACAAAGGGGGAGAAGCCTGGTGCAGGGGGTGGGGCCAGACAAAGGGGGAGGAGCCAGGTGCAGGGGGTGGGGCCAGATAAAGGGGAGGGGCCAGGTGCAGGGGTGGGTGGGGCAGACGAAGGGGAGGGGCCAGGTTCAGAGGGTGGGGCCAGACAAAGCAGAAGTGGCCATGTATGTGTCAGGTAGGTGTGAAGAGCCCAGCATAGTGGGAAAGACCTATGCTTGGGGGCAGGAATCATGCAATGGGAAGAGGTCCCACGCTGCTATTTCATACTCAGTAGAGCCTTTTTGGTGTACAAGCTTACACTGCCCTGTGCTCCAAGACTGTAGAGCAATGATGCCTTCCTAGTTCCAACTGACAGTCCCTTCACTACGGGTGTCCCACTTTTTCAGATAAACAGAACTAAAGCCACGGAGTGCTCCTGACCAATGGTAAATTAGCGGCTTTCTGGGAGGGGGACGCCTGCCAGGGGAGGAGGATGTCGCCCAACTTTTTTTTTTCCCCTGCACGGCTCTCGTTTAGCTGCATATGATGATAATTAATTTCTCTACTATTGATGAATAATCCATTTAATAAAAACCGTGATTTAAGTGTTTTCCTTAGGGAGTAACTCTTGCTAGCCTCTTAATTTAATTTTGTGGAAGTTTTCCCCACCTCTTCATCAGTGGAAATGATTATTAACCTCTATTTGCATATATCCTTATAAACCACACTCTCCTTGGAGTGCCTTTTTCCTGAGCACAGCAAGCTGGGACACTTGTAAATCTCTGGGATCTCCAAAGTCAATCCTGGTCTGTAATATTGTTTAATCTATTCTCGGACGTTTTAATGCAGTAAATTCAATTTAATCTTTCCCAGTAATCTAGTAATACATTGAAATCCCACAAACATTTAAATCTGATAATGGCTTAATCACACTTTAAATAACAGTTGAGATAATGAAAAAATAATTCACCATTTTAAAGGCAGAGTAACTGAATTTCCCTGATGATTGGCTTCCACAAAGCCACTGCAGATAACACAAATCTGGGAATTGGAAGGGAAAAATAAAAAGTGCCAGCATCACAAAGAACAGCCCTTCTTATAAAGCCTCACTTTCTGCCCAGTGGACTCATTCTTCATGTTCTCATCATTGCCACAGGAGATGGTCTGTTGGAGCATGCAGCCTTATCATCCTTGGTAGCTCATGTCTTGGGGGTCATCTGGGAATTTCCTCCTGTGAATTGATCGCCTCTTGTTCCTCTTCCTCCTAGGTGCCAGTCCAGAATTTCTCGAACTCTCCCTGTGGACCAGAAGCCAGAATGCCGGCCCTACTGGGAGAAGGATGACCCTTCCATGCCTCTGCCCTTCGACCTCACAGACACGATTTCAGAACTCAAAGACCTGCTTCTGGAATGAAAGCCCTAGAAGAAACACAGAGTCTTGGGTGGGGGAAGAGAAGAAACTTGGGACTTCCCTCCTCTGGCTGTGGCTTGGGCAAGGGCAGAATGGATAGACTATAGATTGTAGCACCGGGTTCCAGCTGGAACCTGCTAGGAAATAGGGCTCATGAATACCAAAAAAAAAAAAAAACCATTTGAAAATGGTGCAATATTCGAATCCGATCTGGTCTGAAGCAACAAGCTCCCCTTACCTCAAAATTCTTGCTCACTGATGTGAACAATTTGGCCCCCAAGGGCCAAGGCAACAAGGGTGCTGGGTCTTTGGCATTTATTCTACCTAACTTTTTTTCTCCTTCCCAAGACTTGCTATGACTCTCCAGAGGGTGACTGAGCTTAGGAACTCTCTGTTTCTCCTCACCATCCCTGTAGATGCTGTGTTGTCCAATATGGCAGCCACTAGCTAGCTGTGGTTCTTCTCGTTAAACTCACATTCAGTTGTGATTGAAAATCCAGCTCCTCATTTGCACTAGTCATGTCCCAGATGCTTATTAGCCCCACATGGCTCGCTCCTGTCTTGGTCAGCTCAGATAGGGAACATTTTTGTCTCTGCAGAAAGTCATGTCAGACCACACTTCCTGAATAGGAGATTCTCCATAACTGCTACACACACACACACACACACACACACACACACCACCCACAGACACATAGAAGAAAGAAAATTTTCAAAGAAAAGACTCACTAGTCTTCCCTTTTAATTCCTCCAGAGGTATCCAACAGCAGGTGGAACTGAGGCTTGAAGAGCCACTGGGCCACATCTTGTTGACAGGAGGATGCTCTGGAGAAGTGAAGCCCTGCGCTCAGGCCTTAGGTCCCTAGACCAAAACTCCTAGTAGCTTTGTGGCATCTGGTAGACCTCTGGACCTCATTTTTCTCATTCGTTTCATGAGGGTGCTGAGGGCAGCCGCTCAGAAGGTGAAATTACATGAAATAATGTAGGTGCAGGTCAGAACAGTACCCAGTGCTTGAGATTAGTATTCTGTACCGTACATGGCGCCTTGGTACACATTTCCTTCCCTCCCCCTATCCTCATCAGGCCTTTCTGGTCTGGTGGTGCCATTAACACATCTCTGAGGCCTCTCAGGTCTGACATGCGGTATGATGTGACTAGTCAGCCCCTGTCCCCTCCCTGCTGTCGCCTCTAGAAGCTGCAGTTCCCAGCAGTTTAGTAGCTTAGGAGCTTTTAGGACGTCACAGCTCCTGAGAACCGAGAACCTCTCTTGAGGGTCTCTTAGGCTCAGTGGCCACACTTTATCTTCTTGGACCTCCAGCGCCATTGAACATGTATGAATTCTTGGCATCCTTGAGCCTCAACTGCCTCCTGAATTGAAAATGAGGCTGTGAGAATGAGACACCCAACAGGTCAGGCGTGTGTGGCCCAAGAGATGGCACACATGGGCACCCTCAGGCCATTTGGCCTGGGTTTTATTTAGCCCCGTGATGTTCTTCTTGGCCTCCACTTTTCATCAGGTGTTAGTGATCAATTCTGGGGGTGGGGAGGGGTTGGGTACAACAAGAAAGTGTGTGAGCTTTCTAGAATTATTTTTCTTAATTTCTACTTTTTCAGGGGCCAGAGCAATAATGCAGCATGTAGGGCATTTGCCTTACACATAGCCCACCTGGGTTCAATCCCCAGCACCCCATATGGCCCCCTAAGTCTGCCAGGAGTGATCTCTAAATGCAGAGCCAGGAGTAATCCCTGAACACTGCTAGGTACAGCCTAAACCCCCTATCCTCCCCCCCAATTTTTAAAAAAAAAAAAGGATTGAGATTCAGTAGTTTACAATGCTTTTTCAAGCACATAATTCCAACAACACACCCTTGGCCAGCATACCTGCTCCCTCCCCAGAACCCCAACACCCCTTCCTCCCAACCTCCATAATTCATTTTGTGTCCCATGATGTTGCCCATGACCTTTTGTTGCTCCCTTGCTGTGTGGCTTTCCATCCCACATATGAGAAAGCACATTCTGCAGCATTCCCATTCCTCCGACTGCATTCACTCAGAACATCTGGCAGCCCCCCGCCTGCCACCAGCTGTGCGGCATCTCGCTCTTCTGTGGGCACAAGCCCTCACTGCTCCCTCTTTTCTCAATATAAACCTGACGTACGCCCCACCTTTATGTCAGCCCCCCCACACCTTCACACACAGAAAAAAAAATACCGTGCTTGTTTTAAAGTAGACTATATCTTAATGCCCAGTGCTCACCGAGGGTGTCTTTTACTCCTGGACTTCTTGTGCCATCATGCCATGAGCTTCAATCCTCATTCACAGACAATAAAGTCACTCCATGGTCCATGGAGTCCCCACCAGGATGCTGCTTTTCCTCCGCATACCCAGGATGGGCCTGTGCCATGGGCCCAAGTGGGGCTTGGGTGGAACTGTGCCCCAAATCCTCCCACCAGGGGAGCCTAGTGGGGACAACCAGGGGTGGATCCCCCTTTCCTGCCCACCCCATGGCCTGTAGTGAACCTGGAAGATGAGGTCACGGTGTCTCCGGAGAAAGGGTAGCTTTTAAGGAGCAGGAGGTGATGTGTTTGAGGGTGACACATGGTCCCAGGGGAGTTTTCTGGTGGGTGGGAGGAAGGGGGGTAACTTGGGGGTTCCTGGTGACCACTCAGCTTAAACTTTGGTCGCTTCAGCATGAGAGAGTTACCTAATAGAGGAAAGGTATAAGGGGGGTGGGATTGATGTTGGAACATTGAATGACTGTAACAAATCATCATGAGTGACTTTGTAAACCACAGTGTTTCTATAAAGTATAAGGGGAAAATGTATGCATGTAAGCTTTACCTATTCCATGTAAAATCCAAAATATATTACCACGGGGGTGATAAAAAAGAAAATAAAAAAATTTTAAATTTTTTTTAAAAACTTACCTGAAAATGGAAATTCTGTTCCCCCATTCCCAAATCTATGGTTGAGGACCTTCTTCTTCCAGGTTCCAGCTAGGTTGAAAAAAGGTGTTCAGACTATGACTTCCTGCACCTCCCCCCAACACCTCACATAGGGCATCATTGAGGGGAGCCCTGACTTCTGGGACAGCTCTCCCCACCCCCATCAGAGATCAGCGGGGAGGGGAGGGGTCAGCCCTGGGCCCCCAAATTTATCCCAAGGAGGTAAGAAACTTGCCACATGCCAGCAAATAAAATTAATCAGCGTGTTCCAGGAAGTGGTTCAAGCCCAAAAGGAAGCCCTCTGCCGAAGGGGGACCGGGGACCGAGAGGAGGAGCTCAAGGAAGGGGTGACAGGGAAGCATTTCAGGAAAGGGGACAGCAGAGGCAAATGTCCCGGGGGCAGGAAAGCAGGAAAGCGCTTCTACAGAAGGTTCAGAGTGAACAAGGGTTGCCGTGACCAAAGGAGAGAAGCGGGAGAAATTCGGGAGATGGGAGCTAGACAGATGGTGCTCTCCATCCAGTGCTCCAGGAATACCTGAAGGGGCCATCTGGTGGGGAGAGTCTTGGACTTCAGTTGGTCAGTCTGGCCACTAGGTTTATATACAGAGGTACACCCCAGGGCACTTGCCACATGGCGGGGCGGGTCCCCTAGCCCCTGGCCAGCAGTCACTGTTCTCAGGGTGCTCTGAGCAGCACCCACATCCCAAGGCCACGTCGACCCTCCTGGTTCCCAAGTCTCCTATCTGGGTCCTATGAGACAGAAAACAGCAGAGTGGCGGCATTGCTCATGACACTGTTTTAGTCAGAAGCTGCTAAACCTGTCACTGACTAAATTCAAGGGGCTGCCCAAATGAGATTCCATGGACCCACTCCAGTGGATACCCAACATTCAGGCGAGGATTTCCGTGTCTTCCGAAGGGAAGATGTTTTCGAATGCAACTCCCCCTCTCCCCCTCCACCGCCCCTGCTCTAGTTAAGGCTGATTTTACCACTGGGCGAATTGCATACATTTGGATCCGTGCCATGCTAAATACTGTTTATTTTGGAGATCTGTCAGAGGCAAGCGCAAGAGGAAGGCAGGGGGATTCTTATTCAAAAAGGCAATTCTCATCCAAACAGATTGGGAAGGAGTGGAGCCGTGTGGATTAAAATGCGCTGAAAGTGGTAATGCCGTTGATTCCGTGTGCCTTTGTTACTTTGTGATTAAATGGTATTTTTAATTAAGTTTCATTGGGAGCCATAGGTAGCGCAGTGGTGAAATCAATTTGACAACCATAAAGGGGGAGGGAAGGCCCAGGAGTGCAGTCATGATTGCGGCTGCTTCTTCCAGAGGCGGGGCCGGGCCCGGGGGAGCAGAGGAGCCCAGCACTGCCCTCCTTGCAGGGCCTCTGGCCTCACCCTGTCTGGAAGGCGGGTCTCAGGGTGGACAGTCAAGATGTACACCTGCCCCTCGCTCATCTCAGAGTCTCTGAGAGTGCTGAGCCTGCTGGGGGCTGCAGGAAGTGGCCGAAGGGTTTGGTTCTCCTTTCTCACCCATACGGAGAAAGAGTGAGTGCCCAGGGACCCTGCTCAGCCACCTGGCACCTGAACAACACTGCCACAGTCCGTCATCCCCATGCCTGCCCCGGCTCAGCACAGGTCCAACTCCTATTCCCTGGGGACCTTCTGGAGGCAAGACTTCATACCAAAGATTATGCCCAAACACACACTGAAAACCTAATCCTCTGCATCCTCATTCTATCCATCTCTCTACCACCCACCCAGCCATCCAGTCATCTGCCCATCCAATCCAGGCAGTCAGACAGCAACCCTTCTGTCCATCTGTTCATCCATCCATCCATCCATCCATCCATCCATCCCTCCATCCATCCAACTCTTTGTTAATCCATTTATCTATCCATCCATCCATTTGTCCTCCATCCATCCATCCGCCCATTCACTCAACCATCCATCCATCCCTTCACACATCTATCCACCTATTCATCCATCTATATCTATCAATCGACCAGTCTATCATGTCAGCATTGATGAGATCTTCAGAATCTTTTGGTTTCTAAGTGTCAACAGACTTCCTGAGTTTGAATCTTCTGTCAAACCTCTGTTTTCTTGCCTACAAAGGGGAGGTGATGACACTGTATCTACCACACAAGAGTTCATGAGTTCATGCGCAGAGAATCTGTCCCCAGTACGCTGTGCCTGGCATACACAGGTCTTAGTACTGATGCTTATTATCCCAGCTTCCTGCAATAATCGTTGTAGCTCTGTGATGTGGGCAAATCACTTGACCTCTCTGTGCTCCCATCTTTGTTTATATAACCAGGATGTGACTAATGCCTAATCACTGGACCGTTCTCTCGACGAGATCCTGTGTGCTAAGTGATTCACATCATGTCTGGTACTTAGCACCAGAATAATATGTTACCAGC